TATTATAATATTTTTATTATAATAAATTACAATAAAAACATTTTACATCACTACACAAAAACTTTCATGTTTCAGTACTATGATTGTACTTTGTCAGATGATGGTAGATAACTTGTGATAACAAATGATTTATTAGGGAATTTAAAACTGAATCATTAGCTTCTTTCAGAAGTTAAAGGTCAGACCTTATCCCCCCCCCAACTTTAACTTCCGAAAAGAGGTAAAGATTTGGTTTTAAATTTCCCTAATAAATCATTTTTTTTTATCACAAGTTATCTACCATCGCCTGACAAAGTACAATCCTAGTACTGAAACATGAAAGCTTTTGTGTAGCGATGTAAAATATTTTTATTATAATCTCTTATAATAAAAATATTATAATAATATTTTGCTCTACTTTGTATTGAGCAACTTTTTTTTAAAAGTAAATGCTATGAACTGTGGATTATTACTCCATCTATTCTTTCTCTCATTCAGATGTGTGTGTGCGTGTGTATATAACATAATTAATTCATTGAGTCTGGAATAATCCTCAACTGAATCTAGAAAGTACTTGACGGCTGTTGTGTCTAAATAGGATGAAATGTCTGTTGAGTGCTTTCTGCATTCTGTTGAGGATTATTCTAGACTCGATGAATTAATTATAATTATTCAAATACCCCTTAATTTATATATATATTATATATATAAATGTATGTGTGAGACCTAGTGGAGTGGTTTCCTTTCTCTGCATCCAAGCACAAAAGTCAGTCATTTATATGGTTTACTAAGAAATGATTACAAATCTCAAGTGTTGCCATAAAGTTCTTCCTTTAAATGAAATGCTAAAAACTGCTGAGTTAAAGGAGAAAGAAAATTCTGTTATTGTTGAGATTTACAATAAGAACAAATCTGTTATAAAACTTTTCTTAAAGTTTAGTTATAATTGTTCTGTTTTATTATTAGTTCTTATTATGAATTTCTCACATTGTTCTTAATAAGATCTATGCTAAGAATGAATCTTCTATCCATCACATAACTTTCCTTACAGTATATTGCTATAGATGTTTTATTTTATTATTAGTTATTGTTAATAATCTCATATTGTACCTAATTTATAAATTAGAGGTTTTCAGTGGTACGTATATAAAGAGTGTTCCAGTAACTTGGAGCAATTTTAAATGTGAATTAAGTTTAAGTGTCTAATGATTTTTTTCTTTTTCTTTCAGATTTAACAATTTAAGTCTTTGGCAATTTCAACCGTGGAAAGATTAACAATCAAACAACGTATTGAAGTTATCGAAGCTTATTATGAAAATGGATGTTCAGACAGAAATGCATTTTGTGCACTTCGCGATTTTGAAATGATGTAACACTTGTGGAGAAGTTCAATTCCTGGGTGTGATAATGAATAGAGATGTCTGGATTTTCAGCCACATTCTCATGAACTGCAGCAATGAACGGCATAAACAAGCACGCAATGGTATTTTCACATCTGTCACCGACCCAGTTTGTTTGAATTTATGAACAAATTTTCCAATTGTATTCTTGAAACATTAACACGTTGTTTGATTGTTAATCTTTCCAAGGTTGAAATTGCCAAAGACTTAAGTTGTTAAATCTGAAAGAAAAAGAAAAAATGATTAGATGCTTAAACTTAATTCACATTTAAAATCGGTCCAAGTTACAATACAGAATCTTATATATATATAATTTCAAACATTTGCTAGGTGGGGGAGTGTCTTGGAAAATATTTTTCTGTTTATAAGGGGTAAGGGAGTATTGCAATCTAGATAATAAAAGGAGGAATTAAGAAAAAACATATATGTAGGTAATTCATGTCTGATAAATGAATAAAAAAAGGTGAAATGTTTATATTTTTAGGGGATAATCTTCATTTTTTTTTTGGTCTGAAAAATCATTTTTCCATTTTTCGGTAGGGGTGCAGTGGCTTTATTTTTAATTCCTTCTGAACTCCTGCCATCTCACAGATCACTAGTCTTGATTACCATTTACAGTGCCCACCGTCCTGGAAGAAGATAACGACTTGAATAAAACGGTTGACTAAATGAAATTGATAAACACATACATTTCTGATAATTATGGTGTCAACGAATTAATTCAAAGAAAGCCAAGGAATAGTATGTATTAGTATGCTAGTTCTGCCCTCAACAAGCAATTATATTCAACGTAATTACAATTAATGGTAGATAAAGTTGTAACAATAGGTCAATGATGCTGATCTGATTGTTTAATGTGGCCTGAAGTTGTCAAAATATTGTGACAAGATTGTATTATTGTTTTAGATAATTAGGTTGTCTACTACCAGGATCATGTGCCTGGCAAACGGTAGCCAAGTCAATCACAGTTTATATAGTGAATTTAAATCTCATTGGATACTCTTAATCTAGCAGACGTGTTTCTTTTTAATTCTTAAAAAGAGTTATTGCCAGCTCCATATTTGTATATAAGGTTGCTTGCTGTAGAGCAGGCTTTCCCCTAAAGCCAGCATTTGTTAATTTGGTAGGGACTAAGAACTCTGGTATTATTGTCTTGTACCAGACACATCGAAGTGTATATCAAGCTGCTCGGTTAACAATATTAATTAATGACACCATGTCCTTTTATTTGTAAATGAAATTACTTACTGTACTTGATTATATATGAAACAAACATTTTTTTCTTGCCAAAAAATATTCCAGGTCTTGTATGCTAAGTTGAAGTATTTAGTAGGATAATAAAATATATAATGTAAACAATCAATACTTGTATGTAGCCAAAATCAATCATAATGGAAGATTATTTACTCAAATATCATCATAATAATAATAATTATAATAATAATATCAACAATTTAATAGCAGTTGATCCTACCAGAAATATGTAGAGAACACTGAGGGCACAATTGACCACATAATGTCTCAAGGTGGCTGACTGGTGCCAACAACATACTTATAATGGCATGATAGGGCTGCTCAGTATATACACTGGTCAATATGCCACACATTCAACCTCCTTCTCAAAGAGAATTAGTGAGAACAGATGCTACCACAAGTCGTGCAGAAAGAAGAGGTTATCGTTGTCTGGAATTTCAGCATTCAGGCTGATAGGGAAATCCAAGCAAATTAGCCGGGCATAATTGTGAACGTTCATGATGAAAATACATGTTTTTTGATAGATGTTGCAGTCCCAGCTGACTAAAACATATCTTTGAAAATGTTTGAGAAACTAAGTAAAAACAAGATAGAAATAAACAGAATTTATCATCTCAAGACAACAACATTATTTTTCTTGGGCAATGATATCAAAAAGAGCAAACAGATAAGTGGAACAAATTCTTTGTAGCCCTAAAATACGTGGATTGCCAAAAAAATACATATGCCTGGGTACCTTTCACTCCATGCAGTGATCTCAATTACATTATTTTATCTTTCTTTCTGTATACTATCCCTTTTGATACAAAATATTTGACTCTTGATTAATTTGTTTAACAGCATATCAACTCCTTATGGATCATTTAATGATGAAATTGAAATATTTTGAATATAATTTTATGATCTCAACTACAGATAAAATGTATTGTTGGTCACTTTGCTATAAATATGTATCATTCATATCTTTCATGTCGGTTGATATAGTGTTGGTAATTTTTTTTTTTTTATAAAAATGTATTGCTGGTATTTTACTATAGAAAAATATTTTTAGACTTTCATGGTGTTTTGTTTTTGTTTGGGGCTTCACTATTTGCCCATAGCTGGAACCCCAACAGGTGCTACCACACTCCAGTCAGAGTGGACTTGAGAATAACAAAAATTAAGTGGTGGTTCCATGTTCCTCAAAACGTTGAATCTCTCAATCAGTGGCTTTGCTGCTGGATGTAGTTTATCATCATACCCAGGACTAAGTCTTGGCGCATCTATTTGAAACTTGTACTACATAAAGAAAGGCAAAATACAATAATAATGATAATGATAGTTTAGCTAAAAAGTTTGGTTTGGTTTGTTTTATGGCCTATCAATCTCAATGGGTCATTTAATGCCAACAACATTTTTAGGATAGATTTGTATGAATACAATATGTATTCTTTGCTTTAGATTCGTTTATTTTGTTTTATGGCATATCAACCTCAATGGGTTATTTTAATGCCGACAACATTTTTAGGATAGACTCGTATGAATAGAATATGTATTCTTTGCTTTAGATTGGTTTGGTTTGTTTTATGGCATATCAACCTCAATGGGTTATTTAATGCTGACAAAATTTTTTATTGCTGGTAATATTTTTCTTTCAAAATTGTATTGCTGTTAAGAATTTAAAAAAAAAAAATATTGCTGGTAATAGTTAATTATTTGCCCATAGCTGGGACCCTAACAGGTGCTACCACTCTGGGTCAGGGTGGACCTGGGAACCACAAAAACCTCCTGATCAGAGGCCTTGCTGCTGGACATAGTTTATTGTTTTATCCAGAACATGGATGTAGTTTAATGTCTTACCCAGGACGTTTTAGCTAAAAAGGAATTATCCTAAAAAATAAATGCTGGAAGTTCTGAAATGAATATCCATTTTCGTTAGCACCGAACTCTATAAAATTAGGCAGTAACTATTTTTTGAGCTTCTATTCATGTTACAGTCTATTTAATTGACATATAGATCTTATTTTTAGTTTTCAAAAGAACCTTGAAATAAGAGCGATAATAGTAATGCATTCTCATTGTTTAACTTGCAAGCATTTCTGTTGTCTTTTCTTGAAATTCCCACCAAGTTGAAAGAGGAACAACATTTTGCAGGATATTTACTGTGAGAAAATATTTTTAGATTGTAAGAATTTTTTGGTGACAATAATGATTTACTGATACAAGTCCTACTAACTAACCCATAGCTTGGGGGGGGAAGATGAAGTGAATTCAAACCTTTTTCAAGGGTGTAAGTGAATATAACAAAACCCCGCCTGGAATTGGAACTTGGCTCTTTGATTTCTAATTCTGAGCCATTATCAATTATACCACCTGCACATCCAAATTTACAGCACCTGGTATTTCTTAATGGTCACCCATCTAAATACTGATCAGCCTCGACATTGCTTAACATTGGTGATCAAATGAGAACCAGTGTTTGAACATGATATGGACATATGCCAAAAGCACTGATATATTTGAACTATTTAAGGTTTTCTTTTAGAAAAAGGAAACAATACATTTAAATAAATGAAAAGTTTCTAAGAGTTAACCTGTAGAAAAAGACAATATTTATAAATGTAAAAGACAATAGGAAAACTGCAATAGTTGCTGGCATGATGAAACGGAATGAATTTATTAAACAAAGTAACTAATAATAACAAAAAACAGAATGTCCTTAGCAACTGGAAGAATTTAGAGAACGCTATTTTCATACTGTTAACTGAAATTACGTCAATTACTGTCACTTTAACAGTATGAAAATAGCGTTCTCTAAATTCTTCCAATTGGTAAGGACATTCTGTTTTTTGTTATTATTAGTTACTTTGTTTAATAAATTAATTTCATTAGCAACTATTACAGTTTTCCTATTGTCTTTTACATTTATATATATATATATATATATATATATATATATATATATATATATATATATATATATCTATCTGCACGTTTTTTCTCATCTGAATATTTTTTTCTCATCTTGAAAGAAATTATTTTCTTTTATTATCCTTTACCATATGCAAAGCACAAGAGCTATTCAAAGTAGAGGTTTAAAAAAAATGAGAATTTTTTTTAAAGGAGTACACAGAGGGAGCAAATGGTTCATATTATGAGGACATGTAGTATAGATAATGGTTGACTCTTAACTTGAAAAGCCAAAATTGTAGCAATCAGGAAAGCATCCACTTGGGAGTCTGTTCCACAATACAACAGTTCTGGGGAAGAAGCTATGGGTGTGATACTTCCTCCTTACCAATGGAATATGAATAATAATAACCTTTCGGTAATGCTGTGCTTTTGTGTCGTTCTTTGAATAAGATCTTGTTTGTTCATTGTTCAAATTAACACGTATTGACATTTCTTTGCAAATCTGATTGCAGTAAATCTAATGAAAACTAATGATAGGGATAATAAAGCATTTAATTCTGATAATATTTTTTTGAAATTATAAAAATTTAGTTGGAGATACTTGAATTTTTTTTTTTTTACAAATCATACTTCCATGTAGCAAATCATGTTGCTAGGTTTTATATGAAGCCGATATCTTTCCATTTTTAGGCCAGACGGTTTAAACACTAGAATTTATTTCCAGCTCATCTGCCGATGAGAACTTTAAATAAAAAAAACACTGATTATATGTAGCATATTAATCTAACGTATCACTTGTTAAAATTCATAAAATTGATTCTAACAATAATCCACATCTATCTGCAACAAATCCTGTTTTCTAATTTTCTTTTATTCAAACCAAAATTTAATAAAAATTATGAAATGACATCAGAGTACATGTGGAATTCTTCTCCTGACAACAAATATCACATTTATCCTGAAGGTCAGGATTATTCAGTGCATCCATGTTGCTACACTGTATGTGACACAAATTGTGATTTAAAGTGGGTTTACCAGCAATAGCGTGGAAAAATTGCACCTCCCTTTTTTGCAAATTGAATCTCAGGCTTGCCTTACTGAAGCAGAGATACTGCCTGAGGAAATGGGCCCTGAGGCTTGAGCAAATATTATTTTCAACTTCCCCAGCAGAAGTGAACTTCTGAGGTCAGGTAAATATGAAGATAGCTTCCAATTTTAAGTCAAGTCA